CCTCTCTCTTTCTCTTTTTATCTCTCTCTCTCTTGTCTCATGTTTATGAGAGTGTGTATGTGTGTATGTGTGCGCGTGTGTATGTGTGTGTGAGTGTGTGCACCCGTGCAAACATTGTTGGCGTCTCCTGGCGTATGAATACATTTTGAACGCACAGTAAGCAAGTTCTTAAAGCATCAAAGAAAGACATGCATATTAAATGAACGTACTTTTTCAAGCGTTGTGAGTTCACCAAAAAAAAATGTTTCAAGCTTACGCGGTAGAAGCGAAAGCAAAAGCAGGCGAAGGGCTATTACTGCATTGTGACAAAATAGGTGCTTGATTTTGACCCGTCGAGTTCCGGGTCATCGGGGGCAAAGGTCGGGTTAGGAATGTCCGGCTCCCGAGAGAAATGTTCTTCGTCGTAGCCTCGGAGTATCTCGGACATCCGTTTGACATTGCGGCTGTCTCTCGTCCTGAAACAAAGCTTTCGTATAGCTGGCAAGCGGGGAAGCGAAGCATTGGGGCATGCAAATAAGGTGCAAAGCAAAACGATATTAAATCATGAAAAGCGAAGCAACTTGGATTTAATATTGTAAATAAAAGCAAAGCAAAAGAAAAAAGGAATTCAGCTAATGGTGTCAAGTTATTATGAAAAGCGAAGCAAAATGATGTTCACATGTGAAAAACAAAGCAAAATGGTGTCAAATTACTATGAAAAGCGAAGCAAAATGATGTTCACATGTGAAAAACAAAGCAAAATGGTGTCAAATTACTATGAAAAGCAAAGCAAAATGATGTTCAAATATGAAAAGCGAAGCAAAATGGTGTCAAATATGAAAAGCAAAGCAAAATGGTGTCAAATTACTATGAAAAGCAAAGCAAAATGATGTTCAAATATGAAAAGCAAAGCAAAATGGTGTCACATTTGTAAAAGGCAATACGAAAGAAAGACAACATGAGGAAAGCAAAGCAAAAGAAGTCTAGGACTTCAGCTCATGGTATCATGTGAGGCGTGCTGACAAAATGAGTTACTTCTAGCAATCCGCGAATGGATACGTAGACCGAAAAAAGACACATCAAATTTGTAAATTTTAAACTGATCCTTTTTTTTTTCAAGTTTAATGTCTTTTAGCAAAATTATATAAACCTAAACAATAACTTTGATATAATCTATCTGTGCCCATGAGGCTGGAATTCGAAAGTAACTCATTTTGTCAGCATCCTTCACATATTATTATGAAAAGCAAAGCAAAATTATGTCAACTTATGAAAAGCAAAGTACCGTAAAATTCTGTCTAAATGCGGAAAGCACTTATGGGGGTACTCCGGCCATGCCGATGAGGGTAAAAGACCCTCCCCCCCCCCCCTTTCCTATCTGATACGTGTGACGTCACTGCTGAGAGCTCTAGTATTATATAAAACCTCTTTGAGTCCAGTACGGCAGGCCAGTTCGCTTTCCTCAGTTTTTACAAACCACGATAAGATGTTTGTTCCTCTCGGCAAGGCGAGCTCATAAAAAATGTAAGGAGTTATCTCCCAGACTCACTGCAGAACTGACCTATATTTCTGGCTATTATGGGGACTTTTAATAGCTTCCTTTCAAAGTGAACCCCCCCCCCCCCAAAAAAAAACAAACCAAGACATAAAAGTGCTTTATGGCTAACTCTGTCAGAAAGATGGAAAAGGGGAGAAATAGCTAGGGCAGAGGCTGTTGACGCAAATAAGGCCAAAAAAATAACAAACTAATCGAAAGTAGATAGAATCTAGTCCCCATGTTGCCTTTACTGAATGTAGGGACAACATTGTACGCTTGCACTTTCATCAAATGACGTGTTCCACTCGTGTACTTTCATTAATGAGCTCACAAACTGATGACGTGCTCCACTCGCGTACATGTATTAATGAGTACACAAACCGATGACGCATTAATCAGCCGAGCTCTGAGGCAATAAGGCAACTCGTTATCCTCTTAATCAACTGTCTGGCTCGTCTACTCAAGTTTTCTATTTTTGGAATACAGGGTCAGTCCTAATGTCGGCGAGAGGGAAAGTAAAGTTTCTACACAAGAAGCAAGTAATTCACATACAAGCAAATAAACAAGAAAACGCAAATAAGCAAACAAACAAACCAACAAAAGAAATAACAAACAAGCAAACAAACAAGCAAACAAACACGAAAGCAAACAAACAAAACAAACATGCAAGCAAGCAGACAGACGGACAAATAAACAAGCTGAGGCGTGTATGTGAGTGTGAAAAGGGGGTGGGTTGTGAAAGGAGGGGGTGGGGAAAGCAGGGGTTGGTGAAAGGAGGGGTTGGTGAAAGGAGGGGGTGGTGAAAGGAGGGGTTGGTGAAAGGAGGGGTTGGTGAAAGCAGGTGTTGGTGAAAGGAGGGGTTGGTGAAAGGAGGGGTGGTGAAAGGAGGGGGTGGTGAAAGCAGGTGTTGGTGAAAGGAGGGGTTGGTGAAAGCAGGGGGTGGTGAAAGCAGGGGGTGGTGAAGATTATTAGACAGTGTGTTCACACCACGGGTTTGCTTTACTCACTTGTAGTCCCTCCAGATGCAGCAGATGACGATGATGACGATGATGATGAAGAGAAGGCACAGAATTATCGCCACAGGTATGTACCACGGCTGTCGAGAGAATTGAGGGGGGGGGGGGGGC